CATATTTCCAGCAATTACTTGAACAATTTTAACCTTTTAAATTGGCTTGATATTTAGTATAAAATGGTTTGCTCGAAACATGAAAAAGATTCAATAATAAAGATTAACATTATTTAGGTTGTGTGTAGAATATCTCTCTATTATTGTTTCAAATATTGTAGATCTAACTGTAAATTGGTCATGACATGACAAGTTTTTCAAACTAATTTGATTTATGATTCTATCACAGACATTTCACAAAAATGGGCAGGCAATAAAAGTTCCTATCTGTACCTGTATAAACTAATCATAATTTTTTACATGGTTTGTGAGTTCCATCATTGTAGAGAATTGCAAATAAGTTTTGTAAGTATAGGGAAAGAGATCCATATAATCAAAAACCACTTTTTTTTTATAAGGTTTGTAATTAGGTGAAAAGCAATAATTAAATTGATTATGTTGTACACTTGAATCAATTAATTACCATTTCATTCTGTTGCAGATGAATGAATGCACCTCTTCAAGTTCTACAGAATTATTAAATGAAGGAATCTGCTTCAGAATTGCTGACTGCATGTCGCTGCAACATCTGTGCTACAAAGTTTGATTGTTTGATAATTGTAATTCTAAACTAAATTTGAAAAATAACTTATTATATGGAGTAGTTTAACCACAAATCTAAAAAAGAGTCACCATGTTGCAGGAAATAATAGTAACTATATTAATGTCAATATTGATATATAGATGTGTAACCTATAGATTTAGTGTTTTATATTAGTTTGATGTTAATAATATGACAATTTTTAGTAATATGTATTAGACTTTAATATAAAATATACACTAGCATAACAAGATTTTCTCGAAATTGGGAAATGCAGTGTATAGAAAATAAAAATATACTAAAATATAGGGAATTAAGTATCAAGTACAAAAGATAAAAAAAATACCATTTAGTGAAAAATATGAAACAAAATTAATTTATTAAATTTGGATGTTACAAATATCACAACTTATAATAAAACCTAAACCTTTTTTGAACTAAGTAATAAAAAATAAACAGAGATTGTATACAATTTTCTTACAAGTAATTTAAATTTCAACACAGGTACTTTACCCCAAAATGATGCCTCCTAAGCTCATTATTTTTCCTCGTTAAGGAATCTATAGGTTACACATCTATGGAGAATAGTAATAACAAAAGAGTTAAAATGCGGAATCGTTAGGTTCATGATAATTTTATGAATTTATTTGAGAAGTAAAACTTAAATATTGTATTCTATTTTTACATTACATTATATTTAACATGACTTTTACATTTGCAATGTTTTGATAGGAAAAGTTTGGATTAGGGGACTATTTGGAGCGTTGGCAGTGCAGTTGGCGCTTGACCGGATCATATTTTACATATCCAGGTACGATCTCCGCTATATAGTAATGCGTTCTTCGAATTTCATGATAAAATCCATCCGTCATTCTTACTGTAAATTACAAATCGCATACAACTGCATAGAAATTCAAAGATATGTGTGAAGTCAACCAACCCTCACTGGCTCTGCGTTGTTGAATAAAACCTAGTCGCATTCTTGAGGGTAGGCTCCGAGCTCCTCAGTGGAATATAGTGTGACGTATAGTGAGCTTGATGATGACGATTTGTTTTGCTTCAATGCATATTGTCTTGTTAGCAATTTTCTAAATATTTTACCAACACATAGGAGCTAATCTCTTTCCAGTGCTATTCTATTTCTCCCGACAAGAGTGGCACTACTACTCCAGTTCTATCAGAAAATATGAGCTATCAAATAAACAAACTGGAACAAATAAGCATTTATTATAGTTGGGGTATTTTGTTGGTGAACTAAACAATAATGGTATTATTACGAAAGCAATGAGCATTATGTTGCGTTCTTAAAATATGTTCGCTTTAGTCAGAAGATTAAATTAAAGTTGCAATTAACGAAATTGTTTTATTTTTCCAAATTGTTTTCCCTCAAATAATACTTTCAAACGTCAAAAAAGAAACTGACAGATAGATTTTTTTAGGTTGATAGCAACGTAGACTTGTTCATAATATTGCTAGCATTGAAAATGTCAATTTTTATTCTCCGTTTGTGTATCTAATTAGTCAAGAGACCCGTGTCTTATTTTATATACTCTTTGCAGTGGACGACTAAAGCGGTAAGTACCCAATAGACGCGCGGCACGTTCGAGCGGCTTCTAGGCTTCGGTTGTCTCTATACGACTGGCGCGACTTCTTAGGTTCGGCCTGATGCGGTCGATCAGAGGGTCTAGCACGAATATCCGTGAGAAAGCTTTCGTAACATCGCAAAATTTTCAATTCAATTTCACCAACAAATCTCATAAAAGTTTTGATATACATATTTAGGCGATACGTTATGAAGGCGCCTTTCGCAAATATTCGTGCTAGACCCTCAAGTATGCGCTTTCATGCAGTAATGTAGCAAATATACGAATTGGTTGTTAACGGTTTTGGTAATCACGAAACGTAAAATTACGTTAATTTGTTTTTATCAACTGACTGAAGGTCATCATTTTCAATAATAGTCAGTGAGTTACTTATGGAAATTACGTTTTATTCAACTGGTGGAATGAAAACCTTTCAAGGGATAGTAAGTTCAAGAGGTTGCTATTAGAAACCAAAATAGCATAGCAATATTTGATCATTGAACACGATAATATTGAAGAAATAAACAAGACATGACCACAATATTTACATTTATTATTCTACATTATTTTACTCTTTAGTATTACAATTTGGAAGTGTGAGGCACGTGGTCCAGCGGCCGCGGCGACGGTACACTCCTTATAATACATTTACAATGCAATATGCTACATCTTAACATGACAATAAATACAAAATTGTTTTTCATTCGCATACACCTAACCTCGCTCACAAAACTATATTCACCACCTTTAAAGTTTCAGTTTACGTCCATAATGACAATGTCGTCAATTTACAAATTATATGAATATATACAAAAATAAAAAGATTTCCATTACTATAGTATGTTTAAGGAAAAATTGTGTGTTTTTTTAATGATTCATGTAAAATTTGTTTGATGCTAAACTCTTTCTTATTTAAGTTTTCATACTATTGCTACTATACAAAGCGTGAAATTAATTCAATATATTTCTAGAAAATTAATTTATACTAATATTATAAAGCAGAATAGTTTGTTTAAACACGACAATCTCAGGAACTACTGGTCCGAATTGAAAAATTATTTTTTTGCTGGATAGTCCATTTATAGAGGAAGGCTATATAACATTACGCTGCGACCAATAGTTTTTTTTTAAATTCCGCGCAGACGGAGTCGCGGGCGACAGCTAGTACAACATATTTAGTAACATATATGTATAGCTGAGAGATGATTTATTTGTTAATATAAAAATTTCAATATAATATACTTCTTATATTATTATAGACAGCAATAATTTGATTTTATTAAGTCAAAACAAAATCCGTTAATCTCATTATAATGTTTAAATTTTTCGGAGATTTTTAATATACTACAAATAAAAAAAAATTGATGGAAAAGAAAGGTTCGCGCCATGTTTACGTCAAATAAATCATGTCCAAAATAATTTCACATATAGATCGTCACATTACACGAGAGCTAATCGAAAAAAAATTATTTTTAAATTATTATATGTCAATATATTTCGCAAATTAAACTTGAAGAAATAGAGTAATATGATTTATGACAGATAATGTTTTAAAAACTTTAATTTAATACACGTTGTTTAGACATTGCGTCATTATGGATTTAAACTATTAAGGTGAACAAGTTTGAGTAACTTAAGGGAGGATTTAAATTAAATAAAATGGAAAGTAATCAATACATAAATCAGAGTCGATGTCAACGTAGAAACACAAACAGAACCACATCCGATGAAAAGAGTTACATGTCTTATGTTAAGATATGTAACCCTTTTCCTCGTATTGGTTAAATACAAGATTTGCTATTCACAGCGCAAGCTTTAGTACACAGCCGAACTTACTTCCATTATTTCGAGATTTAAAGTAAACCATAAACATAGAAAATTAAATTATTAACATCTAAATTACAATGGTACAAATAGGGATATCAACAAATTCCTTGTCACCTCTCAAAACTGATTGCAAATTGAATTCCACCAATGGCAGATCCAGGATCCTTTATTAACACGTTAGCTGCAAGAATGATTTTTCGAAAAACGATTTTTTTTTTAATTTTTGTCCAAAACCATTTGAATAGAGCCTTGCGGGTCACGCTGTATACAACAATTAGATTAAAAAGCCACAGCGAGAAGTTGAATGGAAGTATGTCGGACACATAGTCCGACACGGCCTAATTGAAACATTAGCTTGTCGGACATATAGTCCGACATGGCAGCTAACGTGTTAAGGGGTCTAGTCCCTGTTTAGGGGGCTTAACCCTTGGTTTATAATAAGAAGCCCCTAATCTTAAATCCGCCAACTGTTTGCAGGAATCAGCAATACTAGTGTTTTAACCTTTATATATTCATCTTGTTTAAGTATGGAGGATGTATACTTTCAACAACTCACGTTTCTGTTGTCCTTATTTTTTAAAAAGATTACCAAATTGCACTTTTGTCGAATAATTTCAAAAGTTCATTATCATTATACAAAGAATAAAGTTTGTTAAAAAGAAAGATTGAACAGAAAGAACAATTGGATGAAAATAAATGATTTAGGGTAGGTTCCGACCTCCTCGGTGGGGACGTATAGTGAGCTGATGATGATGATGACGATGATTGTCTGATGAAACATTTTCACTCTAATTATATTCTATCGTGTTTCGTCAGTGGTAACCAACTTTAACATTAACATAAAGAACCGAGAGTTGTTCAAGAGTGTTTTACTTCCAAGTTGTTGATATTAATTTGTACATATTTAAATGCTGACACCCAGAACTTAGAAATAACACCTTCATCTGATCCTGAGGTAGAATTAGAAAAGAAAATATTCAAATTGTATTCACATTATTTTTAGTATTATAAAAGTTGTAACTTTCTGTCTTTTAAAATTTAATAGCAAAATTTATTTTGCGACAATTAGATATAAAATTATAAAAGGGGACACTGGAACGTAATCGACACAGTTTTTTTTTTCTTTTAAAAGGTCTCAAAAGATATTCAATCCACGGGACCTAATATCTTTAATATAGAAATGTATCATTTTTGCATATTGCTGTTATAGGAATACGAGACAAAAACTTGAAAAATCAGAATAAATAATTTTTCCCTGTCTTATGAAATCTTGGTTGTCTTATATGAAATTTGTCAAGTCATAGAAATTATAAAGAAAATTATGATCGACGTAAGGCGGTATTCTATAAATTTGTCTTAATAAATTATATTTATAAATAAGCTATATTCAGCTTTAGGCATCTTAGCCAAGGAGATAAAATCTTTAGAAGAGCCGAGACATAGTGAACCGTCAGTGAAACACTAGATGGATTAAGTCCAGACTAACTCTTTTCAGCTTGGATACTTGAGTACAGACTGGATCCTTGTTATATTCCAGCCTGTTAGTTTGATTGCGTCTGGAGCGGCACTTCAAGGAAGGTTGGTTTTTGTTCGTCTTCAGAAGAATGGTCGCTGGCGTATGACGGGCGACCACTCTTCTCCCTCAGTCAGTACCTGTATATAAATATTGATTTAACCATTTTATATTGACTATTGTAATTTAAGCTCAAATATATATTTATCTCTTTCATACCTTCTATAAACTTCGTGATTGTCTCGCTCGGCATCAGCGTAAGGCGCCCAATGCGTAGGCGCAGATTCATTGCCTTCTCGATCCGAGTTGTTGGTTGTACCTTTAATTACAATATTAATTAATTTCTACAACTTACTGCTATACTCAGACTATTTTAATCGTCCCTAAAGACTCTTAGTATAAAAATGTAGTAACTTAAATAAAACATCACATGACAAATTTTATGAACTGTTTTATCGTTATCGGCAACGCCAAGACATCGTGTAGTATTTTTTTCCTTACTAATATTATAAATGCGAATTTTTAGATTTATGGATGGTTGTTTGTTTGAAGGTATCTCCAGAACAGCTGAACGGATCTAGCTGAAATTTGGCATAGATGTAGATAGTCTGGAAGAACACATAGTCTACATGTTTTTTGTTCCTTGCGGACAGAGTCGCGGACAACAAGCAGTATATGTATAAATGTGTATGTATTGTACTCACAGTCTTGCGGCGGCGATGTGTCTGCGGTGTGCGCGGTGTGTGCGGGGTGTGCGGGGTGGGGGTGCGCGGCGGGCGCGGGCGGGGAGTGCGCTGAGGGCGGGGAGGGGCTGTCGAGGGAGATGACGCCGCACGCGGACGCGCACGCGCCCGGCGACCGGTACCCGCTCGATGACACCGCCTCCGCTGTTACATAACACCATCAAATAATATAAACCAATAGCACAAAAATAATGCTTGTAAGTTTAACGCGTATATTTCTTGTCTATAATGTTTGATGCCAAATGATTTTATTTTGATGATTTTTTTTCATTTACCTATCTTACAAATATTATAAATGGAAATATTTAGATAGATGGATGGATCTTTGTTTGAAGGTATTTCCAGAACGACTCAACGGACGAAAAAATTAAGCAACATAACGATTCAGATGAACGTGTCTTACCGTTTGAAGATGAGTAGTCGTCAGCCTTGATATCGGCGGGCGGCGTGTGCTTGGGCTGAGGCACCTTCCTCTTGAGCGGCACCTCGTCCTCCGAGTCGGAGGTGAGATCGACGAGGGCCTCGGTGGACTTCGGCGTACGGCCCTCCCCCACCGCCGCCCGCTTCCCTCCTCCTGTGCCCTCTACTGGTATTATTTCTGGAAAAGGATTCAATTTAACAATTTCGTTCCAACTTTGATAACCCCCTCACGCATCAGCTGCAGGCGCATTCAAAAGTTTTTCAGTGAGTAAATAAAAAAAACCAATAAAACAATTTGCTCTTGTTCCGAATAAAAACTTTATATAATAACAATTAATGTAAGTAACTTAGAAAAACAGAAAATAAAACACAAGATAACATACAGTCGTATAAAACCAACATCTTTGTACACTGTCAAGAGATATGCGAATCCCCCAAATGAGGTATAGTACTTTAGGTCCACTTTTGTCCATGAGATGAGATAATTTTGTATATGACTATTTAAGAGCTGGTACCTAAGTCATCAGGTATGAGAGTGACGGGCTCCGGCAGGGGCGCGGCGGGGAGCGGGGCGCGCGGGGGCGGCGTGTGCGCAGACCAGCTGCCGTCCGCGTGCAGCTGGATCTCGTTGCACTCGCTCGACAGCCGCGCTGACGTCAGCACCTCCAGGAAGTACCTGCGTCACCCGTCAAATGTTACATCACTACAAATACTATTAAACTGTCAAAAACTAACCCCAAACAAACATTTTTGCAAAAGATGTTACATCGACTTTCTCTAAACCAATGAGAACAAAGACAATATATTTTTGAACAGATCTTTGGATATCGAACGACTCGTGGTAATTAAAAATTGAACAAATCGTTCAAAACTTGGAAATTCTAGAGCTGAATATCATAATAATAATAAAAAAATTCTGGTTAACAATTTTCCAATTATTTCTCATCCCATAGAATCAAGTTTACAATTATAATTCCACACATTCACATAATTATATATATATGTAACTAACCCATCAACAACTAATGAGTCATATGGCGCTGGTCTATCACAGACGGGACAGAGCCAGGTGGGCTTGCGCTCGTTCATCTGCAGGAAGAGCGAGGCATCGAAGCACTGCAGATGCGGACAGTTGGCAGGCCGGCACGGACACGACATGCGCATCTTGCCCAGCGGACACATCAGCGACACTCGCAGGGACGTCGTCGCTATCTCATTGTCGTAGTCCTCGGATAACTTCTCTTTGACTGTAATAACAATTGCATTTTATTGTATACGTCAGATTATAGTATACTAATCGTGGGTTTCTGAAGCCAAAATCACCATTTAAAACATATTATCTCTGTTATGTCAAAGATAATGAGAGGTATAGCGATATGTTTTATAAAGAGATTCGGTCTCAGAAACCAACGGTAAGGCGCTTGATGGAGGTTTGGTGTTATAAATCTCCACTAAGTGACTGTTGAAGTAACTATTAAACGACTCTGAATGCCATAAGAAACATTGGAATTTACTTAGTAGTTAGTTATTTTTAATTAATGCATATTACTTGTAAGCAGAAAGTGTCAAAACTCTGTTTCTAGTGACAGGTCCCCTATGACATTTGGTCCTTCGAAGTACGGATAAAACTTACTAAGCGAGCGTGTGTAGTCCGCATTCTTGGTGCCTTTATTCTTGAGTCGCTGCAGCAGCTCAGCTGATGTCAGCTTGCGTACAAGGAACACGCTGAGGACGTATGCGCGCGTGAAGTCCGCCGCCCACGTGACGTGGATAGTGTTGGCGACTGTGGGCGACAGCTTCACCAGGGAGGAGATGTTGACAGGCCGCGGCGGCCGCTTCGGTTCCGGCGTCGGCTTGTTTGTCGGTAACGGGCTCTAGGTAAATAAGATTATAATATAGGAACATATAAAATAGTTAATTCAAATTAAATTAACCACAAAAAATGTAGGTTAAATAAAATATTTTCTCAACACATTGAAACATTTCCTTTCAAATTAAAGTAACAATAAAAAACAACTCTACAAAATTAAAAATAAAACAAGGTTATACTTACAGGCAATGGACATAATTTGTTGTTTACTTTAACTGAAACACTAGGTGGGAAATAATCTTCTTGTTCACATGACGTCTCTAACAGGCAGAACCTTAATTGGGCCTAGAAACAATAAAAAAAAACCAAATCAATAAAAAACTGGCACAGTGTCTCTTAGTATAAAATGTCTACTCTATCTTCAGTGACAATTAAATAACACTGAGTGTAGTGCTTTGTGTTTATAAATTGATGAATTACCTGTATAACATAATCAAGTTTGTTACTGGTGCCAACGATATCCTTTCCGGAGGCAATCTCGGTGGCCTGCTGCGGTGTGAGGTGGAACACATAGGTGCCTTCCTGCAGACGACCTGTCTGCATTGGCATCATTGTAGACGGCTTCATTAGCTCAGCCATCACATCGTAGAATGGTAATCTGGAAATTACGAACATAATAATAATAAGTAATTTACCTTTGGACGAAATTAATTTTTCGATAGAGATTGATTTTTTTTAATATGTAATCTTTCAGATTATTTAATCATCTTTGGAAGATTGTTTCATAATTAAGCAATAAATAGCACCACAATAAAAAGCATAATTTAAACAATTACAGAGGGCTCTAAATGGTCACATAGTTTTATTTTTATTATACATGTAATTTTGCCATGTTGGACTGTCCATCTCATTCAAAAAAGGCTCTTTCAGAAGAATATTGTTGATATGTTTTGTACCTTTTAAACTTAACATCTGGGTAGACAGGGAAGGGCGGCAGCGGGGTGGTGGGAGAGGGCGCGGCCATGGGCGCCAGCGGCGCACCCGCCGCTCCGCCGTACCCGTGGTACATGCCGCCCGCGTACATCGGGCTCTGCCGCGCCTGCGCAGTGCGCGCCTGCTCATATACACTATTATTATGCATTTTCTAACTACAAGTATTTTACATATGCATTTAACCGTCAAATGGGCATATTCTGCAAAACGTTTAATAACAAACACACGATTTTAGGCTTCACTGAACATAAGGGAATGGCAATTTATATAACGAGGTTCAAGTTTTTGTATTTGCACTGCGTCAAATATTTTGGTGCCTCAAAACATCGTACGAATCGCTGAGAACACAATTTTACTAAGGATCAGGGGGGGAGGCGCACTGCGCAGTGTGCAGCTGAACTTGAGCTACCAAAAAGAATGACACGCCCAATATAGTTCATGTTTCCATTGTAGCATACCGTGACGGAGAGTGCCTGTGCGCGCGTGTCCTGCGGGTTGTACCCGGTGACAGCAGGGTGCTGGTACATGCTGCGCGAGCCTGGCAACGCGGGCGCGAGTGGGTCCTTGCCCTGCCCGCCGCCGGGACCCACGCCGCTCGACGACAGCGCTTGGTTATTCCTGCAATACGCACAACATTCAACACAAACCCGACAGATTCTTAACACATGCACATTTCACTGTTAGATTTTTGCTGTGAAATTTTAGTAAGTCGTATTGTCTACCTCAAACCCAAAGCCCATGCAAAATCGACGATGGAATCTCATACTTCCTACTATATCTAAATAGCGATCTCGTCGATTATTTAATAAACATTTCAATACTTTCCATTTCTATCACTTCTTTCATAGTCTGTACTCTCATATACTCTTTTCATTACAAAATAGGGAAAGTGACATTTCAACCTTTTTGCACAAAAATATTTATAGACGTAAGTATTTTTTTTACATCTACTTTCCTTCTACATGCATTAAAAATAATTACGAGTGGATCAATATGTCACCCTGCCAATACAATATAAAGAGTAGAGAGTTGTGAGCGAGCAAAAGCAGTAATAAACTTGCCTAAATGGTAAGTTCTTTTGCGCGCGTTGTCCTTTTTCATTGGTTTTGAGGCGCGTCCTAAGTTCCGAGCCATTGCCGTTCTCGGCGGGCGCGCTCGGGGCCGCGTTAACTACTCGCGCTGAAGATCGTGTTTTAACCATTGTTGACGACCGACACTTTCATCTCAACTGAAATTAAGGAGTCCGAAAACGGACAGATATCGGCTATCATAAAAAAACAAAATCAAGAGGTTGTTTTTCTGGAAAATTTCTTCAACAATCAGCAAAACAATGATGGGCATCGGAGCAAACTTATTTCTCTTACTACAACTGTGAAATGCAAGTATGGGGAATGGAGGTACGAGATTATTAATGTAACCAAATAATAAATCTACTTAGTCTTCAATGGTTAAAACATATCTTACAGCTTTTAATATCTACAAACCACTATTCCTAAACCCATAATCAATTTAGAAGTTGGCGGTCCTTTTTGTATTAAAAGCAAAATATTCCACTGCAACTGTGAAGCAGCATTGCTAGGGAGAAAAAATGTATTAACAATTATGGGATGGCTGGCAATCAAAAGCGCCGGATGTGACAGGAACTGAACAGTAAGAGAAATAAGTTGTCTATCCTGTCAAGGAAATTTTCCAGAAAATTATATAGCAATAAGTTATTTCAAATGCAATTATAAAGGGTGTCAGGGTTCGGCTGAAAGGTTCTGAACCTAAGCTGCATGTACTTCAGTGATTTATGAACCAATTTCAAAACTTATTATTACTTTACTTCTAACAGTTAAGTTAATTTGCATTATTAGGAACATTACAATCAAAAAATTATCTGCAAATATTACTATGAAAGGGTCAACATTACATTTAAGTAATTTTAAGCATGATGGGATAAGTTTTTAAGAAATGGATGAACACTGAACCTGGATCTACTACTACAAATGTTGTGTCTTTTGGAGGTAACAGCCGTTCTAAGCATTCTAAAACCAAATACTGACTATATGATGATGGCAAAAACATCAATATGTTGGTGGGTTAAGATAATTTTTTTTGACATTCTTAGAAGGCAATTAGAATTAATAAAATAATTAATAAATATTACATAATGTAACGTCAGTGTAGTTAAAGGGAGAAACCTTTGAAGGGGCATAGTTTTATATGCAATTCAAAACATCTAAACTACAATTAATTTATTTTTTTTAGTAATAACATTGTAAGCAAATGTAATAAGGTAAGAGATTAGTTCAAAATACTTTAGTATTACCCTAGAATCAGAACTTTTCAACCTTCCCTTGTTTTCTGTGAAAAATTTATATAATAAAGGGGTTCAGGACCACCACACCTATCACATGGATATTTAAATAAAAATAAATTTGATCTAATTTCAATAATATCTACTGTGATACATATTAACTTAATTTACTCTACTTATATCCTAATTTATTAAGAATATATAATAGTAATTTTTTTGCTATGTTTAATATTTTTATAAATAATGTAATGTTATACTGATAGGGAAATTATAATCAATTGAACTTTGTATTATGTATATGTTACATGAATATATAATATCTTGTTAGTTACTAAAAAGACTGCTAAAATTTACATTATTATTTGTATGAAAAACTTTTTAATATTGTATCTTTTCGGACTGTTTCTTTTGAATGATAAATAAATTTAATTCAGTTTGATGTTAATAGTTAGTTGTCATTGACAAACTTAAACATAAAATATTATTGCAAATTCATTGAATAACAATTGAAATAAATAAAATTTTCATATTTTTTCTATCTTTAAGGTTACTATTTCTAAGGTATAAAGTTAAGATATTTAATATTATAGTTGTTCTGATAATTCATTAGGTAACAATATCATAAAATATTTGATTGTTTGTTCAAAATTACCATATATACCACTACAATTTTGAAGTATCTTTTACAGGTAAGCTATTTGTTTATCTAAGTCAAGGTGGGGCAAGCTGTTACTTGAAAAAATATATATAAAGAGACCCTATAAAAAAATTGACATTAATACATATCTGCTTTTTGTAAACTACTGTATAAGCTATAAAAATCTAATTTATAACTTTATAATCAAATAGCAAAAATTGACACGTAAAATACCCAATATAAATAGGAATAACGTAGTAAAAAATACCCTTGATCTTATAATGTAAATTGTTGGATAAAATAGTGAAATACGAATATTTTTGAAAGACCATGCTCAGGTGCAACGGCCACGTTCAGACCAGACAGGGGTCGTCAATATTTCATAAACACCAGTTAATATAAAATATTGTAATATTAGTAATATTGTTATTGTGCAATGTTAAGATTGATGTATGTACATTAAGTTAAAAACATTCAGTTTCATATTCTGTCTGGTACAAACGTACTCAACTTCAAACAATATGGATGTCGTAGATGTATATAAAATTTACTCACCATGATATCGCATTACCAAAATCGTAATATCTACTCATATTCAATTTAAGTCAAAAAATCCACTGACATTTAGTTAAAAGTACAAAAACTATTTACTAATGTCTAATGCAAAACACCATAACTTGACGCTTCTGCTCCAGGCGCCACATTGGTTTTGCATAGACAAAATGTTTTTAAGCTAATGTGTCCTACACTTTACTGTCACATCCAAGTGTCCAACAGATGTGTGTTGATTTTTTTTTGTGTTCCCAATTAGCCTTCCTTGGAAAAATTTAATAAAATCAATGTTTACTATTTTCACATATTTCTGAAAATGTATTACAGAATTATGATATAAAATTGTAATAAAACGGATTATTGTAAAGCTAGTTACACACTGTTGTTTTAATAAAACCATAAACAAAAGCGTGCGTCATATCCTTTTCCTGGCATTTAGGGTTGAACATTACCTAGTAGGGTTGAACATAATTTAATATTAATCAATGTTTAATCTGTTTCGCTACAAGATATCGTCTGTGATTATATAGAGGTTTTGCTAGTACATTTTAAAACAAAGATGAAATTAACGAATAAAATCACGGCTTTACACGTACACCAACAAGGGTACTTATAATTAGGTATAATACCCAAAATAACTTACTAGACTATTTCACATTTGGAACTTGCATCGAACATCTCTACTATAACGCTGTTTCTTAAGGTAACGAGTCGTCATTTTACTAGAATTAACACGACTGTACTATTAAATGTACATTAACGTCTACTACTTGTTTTTAATCTTTCATTTCATTTAAAATGCTTTTTATGAGAGATGGAAGCAAACGAGATGCGGGAACACCGAAGTGGTCAACGACACCGATGGACATCCCCAACCCCGAAGGAAATGCAGATGCACTGCGGGCGTTTAAGGAAACGGTATGCTCGCTTCTTGAAGGACCCTAAGTCGTAGTGGTTTGGAAATACCGGCGAAAACAGGCAGTGTCGCGTTGGAGGCTCCGATGTGAATTTAAGTAATGAAATACATGGAAGTACAAAAACACATAGGTAGCCCTCACATTTAAAAAAAAACGAAGGATAACGGTGAAAGAATGCATGTACAGTGGTAACTCGATTAACCCGCCTTTCGTCTCGCCTGTTCGGATAATGAAAATTGAATATATAAAGTGAATAATAAAAATGAATAAAATAAATGAAAAATATAAAGTGAAAGTCTTTCATGTTTACGTTGTATATAATGATTTGTGTTATTTAAAAACAACAAATAGATATCAACGAAAATCTATGTTTATTAAGAAATTAATAAGAGATACTTTGTCTAACATACGCATTTGTTTATGTCTTATATAATTTTTTTTAGATTACATACGTACATACATACTAAAATAATGCGACTTTAATAATGAAATAGAATATGTAGGAACGTATGTACACATGATTTGTTTGTAATAGTTTTTTTTTTTAAATCTACGATCAGTTTTTTGTTTATAATATGTTATTGAAGCGGGAAATGCTAGATGACAAAACAGAATAAAATCTTTTTCCTTTCCTTTCGCTCTCGGTGCTTCGGTTATGATAATTTTTTTACCGAAAGGTAGTGCTTGCAGCGGTTTCCCATTTTTTATATTCATACATTTTATACTGAAAAATATGGGGGTGGTGCAGCGATGCCGGGGGACCCGGGCAGCTTAACACCATATCCGATACGTTCATGCTTGCATAAAGTCAATTTGTAGGTTTTTTAATTGGTCGCGGTTGTTAGTCCGGATACTAGACTATACTTCCTCTTTGGTCCGAATACTAATTCGTAATGAGGGCCGGATAATCAAGTCTCTAATAATTGAGTTAATATGAGCAGCGAAGATCCATTTAACAGAATTTGTTAATTTATGACTTAAAAACTGTATTATCTTTTGTGTGTGGATTAAATTGAATTCAAGATGATAGAATAATTAACCACAATCATAGTAAAATCGATGACGAATATATAATGCCTGATCTAAATTACAAACAGCGTATTTGACAACTAATAAACTTGAACGTTCGTTATGAAACAATATGTTTCGGTAATGGAATAGTTCGGTTAAGGTTTCTCGCATCAACATGTTCATGTAGTATCAAAGAATATTAAAAAAATTAACAAATAATGGATAATGAACAATAAATGAAAGTATTATTATTTGGTCGAATACTTCCTTTAATTTATATAATAGTATTTTGCTTTTGTAACAAAACGGACTAACTCATTTATTTAAAATTAGCTGTCGCCCGCGATTCTGTCTGCGAGGAATTAAAAAGGAAAATACAGCTGTTGTCGAGATACTTTCAAACAAACATCCATCCACCCAATCATTCGCATTTCTAATATTAGTAGAAAAAAAGACTGGAAGAACAATATTTTTATATATTCATAGCCATCAAAAACAGCAAATGCTGTACAAATACATGTTGGCAGAGCCCAAATGCCGTTTCCTTTTATTTTGAAAATCACAGTTATTAACACCTGACCTGGATGTTAGTAAACAGCACCGATAATTTAAAAAATAATAAATCTATGTACACAATTGTTTTTTAGAGTTGTTATTTTAAAATACTATTATACAAACAATGTATCATATAAAATTGCAGAGAAAACCCAAGGTCATCTCAGTGAAAGTCAAATACATAACCCCTGGTGTATAGCAGCTGAGAGGTCTCACAGGCGGAGTTAATACTGTGTAGAGCATGTCTTATTTCACTTCAATCAATTGTGTTAGCATATACTACCAATAACAATAATTGAAAACAAAGTTTCAGTGTCATCAATCAATTAATACTCTTCATCTTAAAATACGTAGCGTTGTTTATTTATAGGCATGTGTATGTGTTATGGCTGCACCACAAGGACCAAATAGGTTCGGCTTTAACATTGTACCGTGTGTTAAGCCTTGCGCGGTAGACATCGAGACGCGCCTGCACCGGCCGCGTGGCTCCCTCAGGTCGGTCAGACCACAGGCGCTCTGCCAGCGCAGCGGCGCGCGGCCACACGCGGTGTTCCAGCCCACCTGAACTTAGCGTTGCCGACCACACCGTCGCCTCTCCGCCCTCCAGCAGGCCCAGACTGCTGCTCGCCCACGGCCGATATTCGTATATCTTCTCCCACGAGTTGTACGGCGCGCCCTCCGAGTCTTCGTGCCACGCCCCCATTCCACTGTTTAAATCCCAAACGTCTTCGTTTGATAGAACGGTCCTCATACCGCTCACAAAATTTTCGTTCCAGGCGACGTTACGAGCCTGTAGCCCTATATAGTCCACGTATTCTTTTAAATCTGTTTTTATTTTTTCGCATAATTGTGAAGACCAAATTAATGTCAAATTTGGTAAATTGCCCTTCACCTTTTGTAAGCTTTGTAATGTTTTACGCGTGAAATTTATCCAGAGATCTATAGGTTCCGTGTCGTTAAAGTATTGTGTCCAACATCGGTCTGACATCCCGTTTCCGCCGATATGATAAAGATCGTCCACTCCTGTCAGCTGGGTGACTTCGAGAAACAATCGCTCAAGTATGTTGTATATATGATCATTACGAGGATTGAGCTGCCCGCATGGAGGCTCGTCACAGTACAGATACCACGGCTCCAAATTAGAACAATACGCTAAATCTCCAAGACCGAGAATGGGACCCCAATCCCACGCTTGACCAATTTGTGCGGGGACGTTAATCTCCAAAATTACCCTTATTCCTCGAAATCGTGCATATCTTGCTATAGTGCGCACGTCATCGGGAGTATATATGGTGGTATTGCCATATGCATTGAACTTAGCCAGCTGCGGTACACTATTAAACATTATAGAAAACGCTTGAGCGCCAGTCGCATGCCAATGAAAAGTGTTAAGTTTACAAGTAGCCATAGCGTCGATAGTACGTAACAGTTCGTCTACAGGGAAGTAGTTGTGTACGGTGTCGATCATTAAACCGCGATATCGAAAGCGAGGCGCGTCTTGAATGGTAGCCGCTTCCAACATTAATAGAGAACCAGCATAAGGATCGAGCCATATTAACTGCGTGAGAGTTTCAAGAGCATGTCTTGCACCACAAAAGGAATTAGCTATAATGTACACTGCCATGGTGCCAACGCTGCCAGCCTCCGGTTGCACGGACAGTGCATAGCTCTCGTCTGTGTCGAGTCGCATGCGAGGGTCGCCGCTTCCGTTGATTCTTACTCGCACTACAACCTTATACCATTCATCGAATCCACGCAACTGTTCTTCAGTGAAACTTAATTCTTGACGAAAAATGTCAAATGCATTTTGTAAATGTTCGAGAACTGGCTGTGATGTGAAGTCTAGCACTTGTAGCTGGAATAGATCGGCCCGCACAGGGACGGCTGTAGTAGACAAACTGACAGATCCAGTAGGTTGTGGCCAAAGTTGGATTGTAGAACATAACATATTACAAGTAATAAGAGATTGAAGTCTTCCAGAAATTGTTGCTTTAATGGGTAAACATTTTCCATTAATACAATCCCAGGTCCATAAAGGCTGGTTGCTGCAAAATATAACTTTATTAATATCTTAAGCGTTTCAGTATAACAAAAAAAAAAGTTTTTCTAAAAGAAAATCTGTAAATTGTACACTTACAAACGTCGAGAAGCCTTAACGTGTAAAACTATTAACAGGAAAAGGAAAAACTTTTTTAAATGATGCGCCATGGAATGACACATCATCTATTTAAATTAAATAGCATCGAAAACATTTTAAACTTGTATTTTTGTATTAAATAACTCTACATTATGTAAAAGCCCTTCATAAACATAAATTTTTAAATGTATCTTTCTTGATGTTGATAAAGTTGTATATCAGTTTTGACAAGCTTTCATCACGACAGAAATAAGTTATGAAACATAATGTTCTGTTCTGATACCGATCTTCTATTCCAAATATTCATCAAAAACCAGTAGCTACATAAATTATCAAGAGAGTTAAATGTCTTATGAAAGAAATTGCAGTCTGTTGATTTTAGCAAATTCTTGATAGAGGCTCACACGGCGATTACAAGATTTGTAAAAATTGTGTGGCTGTACAGTTTTGTTACCTTTGCTATATGTAAACAAAATTTGCAACAAAAAAAAATTATCTACGCCACAGGAGGGGAGGGGTAAAAATGACAGCTGCCTGAAAGTTATCCGTAATATATGGCAGTCTAAGGCGGAATAGTTTTAATTTTTAAAATACTTTAATGGTGTGGTATTTTTTAATTCCGATTACATTAAAAAACTATAATGTCGACGACAGAAGGGGATTTGGACATAGAAGTGTCCCATGAACTGGAGGAAGGCGAGGTTAGAGAACTAAAGTTTTTATAGTTTCGCCTGAAGATATTACGGTGTTTTGTTCAAGAAGACACGTTATTCTAAAAAAATATAGATATACCGAAGAAATATAAATGTTTTGCTATTAATAAATTGTCTTAAAACTGTCCAGTTCAGCCTATTAATGAAAAATAAAAGATTTGACATTTGGATTTACGTATTACGATAACTGAGTGTATTTTTTTGTTTTAGTTAGTGGAATCTGACGTTGAAGAAGGCACATATATTCCCCTTGCACGGCCAGAGACTTTTAACCCGCCATCCTTAGTAAATATGCAGATACAGGATGAGTTGAGCGATGAACCTTCTCATGAAGAGTCATCAGGATCAGAATCTGATGAGGAGCCACGCCGCAGAGCCAAACGAACCAAGTTACGCTTACGAAGATCACATCAGCAGCAGCAACAACAAACAAAACGAGATAAATATAATGTTTGGTGTAAAACAGTGCAGGTAATACATTAAAAAATGTCATTGATCCATGTGTTGTCCCAACTAATTGGGACTATCTTACTTTGCAAGCTGTGGCTAGCCTTATTCACCTACTCTGATAAGATATGTTTTTTGTTTTACAGGAGGATCTCTTGACAGAGGATATGGGAAGTATAGATGTGACAAAAAAAAGTGATTATGGTGTTGAATCTTATGATTATACAATTAAGTATAGGCTAGATGATAATTATATATCGAAAAAAGTTTTTTCAAATGATCAAATACACAACAGAGACAATACAAGTAATAAAAGAAGGCACACTGATAGAACAAATGTAAAATTAAGACTTGGCAAAAAAGTAAATTGCAATCAGCCTCGTGAAGAAAAACAAAAGCCAAGGTATTTACCTAATTTAACAGTCACCACAGAAGATCCGATAGAAAATATTGCAGAGGAAATTGCAGAAAAATTATCAGAATCAAAGAAGGAATTAGTTGGTATGCATTATTTTTAAATAAGCTGTCTAGAAGTTGAGGGTCAGTTACAAATTTTAATTTTTCTGAATATCCTATTGTAAATGACCAACTGACTCGAGGTGGCTTTCATGCAAATGCATTCATGCAGTTGAATTCAATGGAAATGAAAAATTATATTTACCCATGTCACAGACTGACAATGTAATTTATTGTCTATGGATTTATTTTGGAATGTTTTAGGATTTAGTTTGATGTTACAAACCCATCTATGAAGTCTGTGATTATCTTTATATATATAATTCTTCTGTGAGTGTATGTCACTGAACTTCTCTCAAACGACTGGACCGATTTTGATGAAATTTTTTGTGTGTGTTCAAGGGGATCTGGGAATGGTTTAGATTCACAATTTTCATCAAATATTAACTTCATATTAATTTATTCAAATTAAAGACGTGTAGACAGGACAATGTCGGGTCCACTAGTAGCTGTATAAAGATAAAACTTTTTGGATAGCTTTGTTTTAATTTCTGATTTTTATTTAATTTGACTATAAGTTTTTATGTATGTGGGTTTATATGTGATGATTCTTTGTGATAGGCTGCACTATAACTTCTATTCATTTTTTTTTGCACTATCATAATGGTCTTTTTTTAAATTAACATAATATTATTCAAGTATTAGATTGCGATTGCTACTTATCTCTAAAAGGTTACACATTTAGTACCACCAAATTACCTTTTGAGTTTATTTTAGTATGTAAATAGAGTATGTCTTTACAGTAAGAATTCTTCAAGTGGTTGGTGCAAGTAAAGCAATAGAATTATACAAAGAGACACAAAGAGTGGAAGCTGATGGTGGCATGCTTGTCATGGTTAGTATGCAATGATATTCCTATTTTACATATTTCAAATCTTCATATTAATATATATATATATTAGGGATTATAAATAGGTATACATTCAAGCTTTATTCTTGAACAGTTTACTCAATTCATTATCACCTGTGGGTCTTCTAGACTATTTTCTACATCTATTCCAATTTTCAACGAGATCCACGCATTCCGGTTAACAAACTTCCATCCATCTATCCATTCATCCAAACATTCTCATTTATAATATATAATATTAGTAAGATGAAAACTTTTGCAATGAAATTATTTGTTGTTTTATGCCGGTTTTTTTAATAAAGCATAGTATTGTCCAACAGTATATAGCATAAATTGGTAAAGCTGGGTAATGAAGCTTAACCAAATGATTTTTATTCTGCAGAATGGTACTCGTCGCAGAACATCTGGTGGTATATACTTCTTCCTCCTAAAGCATGATGAAGATATATCACAGGCTATGATCAGTCAGATATTTGTCGAGGATCGGAAGACATCAGCGCGTAAGGTCAAAAAGGCGCTTGCTAAGAATCGTCAGAAAATTATGGAAGAATTGAAACAGAGCTTAACAGGTACTACTTATTTTTATTTTGGTACAAGTCAATACTGTTAGGGCTATATAACTGTTATATAATGGCTGACCAATTTGTTGCTTTTTCTTATAGATTCTGAACTACCCTCACTTTTATCCCGGGGCGAGGCGACCGTGCAAACAGAGCACGGCTCCAACCCGCCGCCATCGCCAGCGACAGACGCACGTGAGTGCTCGAGCGACACAGATGCGCCGCAGTCACCCTCTCGGCCGCAGGCCAGTCTGCCTGACAGGACAGATCGAGACCCCAGACAACTTCACACATATGAAGACGATGATGACTTCTTAGAAGTGATGTGCAATGAAGAAATGGATCTTTTCTGAGTTTACCTGGTGCTTTAATTGCCTCAAAGTGGAGTTCTGATGAATTTGATTCCATGTGAATTGTTTTTTATGATTAGTAAAATCATAAACAAATGTGGTATCTATGACTAAGATATGTATCATTATTTTGAATTGTTATTGGGTGCTTGCAATGATTTGATCAAATATTTCAATAAGCATGGATAGAAATATCATTGGTGCAGGCACCTGGAATGGTCTACACTTGATAAGTATCAAAGGTGTTGTTTTTTTTGGAATTAATGCTATAAAAAAAAAATCTGTCTCACAATATTGTGTGTTCATGGTTACATGTGGTATAGTCAGTTTTAATATTTTTAATAGTATATTTCATATTAAGGAATATAATTGAAAGTGCTTTTGTAAACAATATTCACTTGATGTTAAGTGGGCAACGACTTATCATTGTCGGCAACAAAGGTATGGATTCACTGCCAGTCTTTTTATAAAGTAGAAAATGTGGATAAGTAAAATGTTGAGAAAGATTTAGTAGACATACCTCTAATTTAAATGAGGTAAATTGTCTAAACAATATACCACACAATTGGAGTAATAGAAAGCAGTTATTTCTGTTCCTAGGTACCCCAATGATGTAACCTAGTTTTAAAATATGACCCATAAAATATGTAAGTGAAGAATATAAGTGTTTGTTCACATTTTATCTATCATTTTTTATTAATAAAAAAAAAACTAAAGTTGCCAATGTTTACATTTTACTTTGTGATAAAATAATTGACTTTTGAGCAATCAGATGGGTCTGTGGTCTAGTGCTGGATAATTTGAGAGGTAATTTTCGCTGATATGTATATCTGTTCTATTGTGACCTAAACAACTCTTGTCAATAGTTTCAAGAATCAGTTGGGTTGATTGTTTTTAAAAGTATTGCTTATTACTGTATATAGATACACGTCCATTGGATCGCGCAAGACCCAATGCACGCACGGCATGCAACGGATTTTAGTTAGCTTTATATGATTTTACATAGATTTGCGTCCATTATCCACGCCGCCCGCATCATATCAAGACAAAGCTAATCCGTTTAGCCCGTGCGTGTGTTGCGACTGGCACGAGCCAATGCACACATACCTTTAATTTTACTTTTGACATCTCAATTATGTAAGAGACTTGTCTTAAATATTGTTTTAGTTTTCAATACAATTTCATGTAGAGAATAGCATGGGCATTATGATGTTCTCATCCGCCTATAAAATTATTTTTGTAAAAAAAAACCATTGTCTATGGTTTTGAGTATTTGGGCTGTAAAATTAGCTATATTTGTAGACAATAAATATTTTTATTATTTAGGTTTTCCTCTCATGTATACTCCTACCATTGAAATATTGTTTAATTAGTAATTTATTGTGAAAGTGTAAAAATCCTATTGTTAAGTGGTCCAGAGTTTTGTATTTTTACATTAAGAAAGATTTACGAATTGTGAGTTTTTCATAGAATTGTGTGATCAGTGTGCGAAATGTTACTAAACAAACTCTGGAATATTTGTATAATAAACATTTTAAAAAATACAATATTTGTACTTCCCTAAATTCGCCTATGTCCTAATCTTATCATAATTACCTCCTCTGTTCTAAGCTAAAGGGACAAACCTTTAGATACTCTAGCCATACATGCTACTATTATGTGAAGAAAAAAAAAACTAAAAATTAAAAACACCAACAATTTAATATATTGTTTTCACTATAACAGTTGGAGATTTTATTGGTTCAGGATAAAATGGACAGCAAGTAGATCTCATTTATGTTATATACTATAAATACATAAATGTTGTAAATGTTAAACATCTTCATTATGTCAAACATTTATGGAAAATCGCACATCTGAAACCATAAACAAAATCATTACTATCTTACTGTTATGGTTGAATTTATATTTCCAAAAGATATCGGCTTCAGATTCTCATTCAAACTGCAGCTTACTTAATAAAACCTTAGTGCACCAAAGTAACATAGGTATAAGAAATTTTGTTTAAATATAGTCTCATAAAGATACTGACTATTTGTTCCATACACTTTTCAATATGTTCAACTTTGATTTCAGTGCAGCCATCTTTTATAGCCAGTCTTCCCGCCCGATGACAACACTCCATGATCAAACAATTGGCTAATTGTTTAACCAGAGGTAAAACATCAGGTCCCAGTTTAGTTTTGCCCTCGAATTGATCTTTTAACAACATTTTTAATACATCCTAAAAGAAACTCTTTGTTCATTATAAATACTTTTTTTTGTTATAAAATATCTTTGTTGATTGTAATTATAAAAAATAACTTGGAAAATTCTTACATCCTGTATAGTGCTCGAAATCATAATATTATCGTTATCTTCTGTAAAAGCATCTATGGAGTTTTCCTCGTTCTCGTTGGCGTTGCTTTTCTCGTAAGACATATTATTACGTAGTATTGTAGAATAACGATTTTTTTATTTTTGACATAGAAAATTATTTATTTATGACTACCCGCTGCTAAAGCTCAAATGGAAAGTAGAAAGGTAGAAAGTAGAAATTGAAACTTATCGATCGGATCGGGATGTCATCTTGACAGCACCATATTTTGATATGTTGACCAATGAGGGAGCGGCGGCTAGTTTAATGTTGCCATTTTTAAGATTTCAAAATTTCATAAAAATATATCACAAAATGTTATAACATGTTGATTAGTTTCCTAATGAGTTTTGATGTATCAATTTAAATAGTAACAAATTAAGATGAGAGTTCAGGTCATAAGTTGCAAATAAATTTTTTGGAGTAGCAATATCGATGACTTTCGGAAGAAATCAGGAAATGTTTGCTCCCTGACAATTCTAAAGACTCAAGAAATTAATTTCTTTTGTTTTCCGCACAATGGCGATAAATATTTTGGACATAAAAGAAGCATTGTTAAAAAAATTGTTTATTTAAATAAATTAATATATAAAAAACTCAGTTTTCACTTATTACCAACATATCTAATAAATACATAACACGATCTGTTACATCTTTGACTGACTTATGAGGCAAACTATCGGTTATGATTTGTAAAACGTTCATTTCTTCAACAATATCCAGGATAGTTTTATTTTTGCGCTCCTCGCGGGTAAAAGACTGTTTTAGTACTTCAAGTATTAATCTGTCTTCAGACCTTTGCCACTCAGGGGCCTCTTGTTTTACTGTTTCATCGTCAGACATGACCAGTTCAATCTTAATGTCACTCACATTCAATTTTTTACCATCACTGTCAGACATATCCTGCAATAATATAATAGAGTGTAAAACAAAACATATCAAGTGCAAAAAAAACCACAGTAAACCAATCGAGATTGTTTTTATCAATAATTTACATAATTTAATAGTTAAATATTATACAAAAAATTAATAAATTAACTTAAATTGACTTCTAGATAATGAAAGTGGATTTACAAACTACACTTACCTCCGTATATTCTTCAATTGGAATGTATTTTTCTTCATTAATTTGACTCTCAGACTGTTCGTTGTCTATTTCTTTGGTATTCAGATCTTTACCATTTCTGTTATCAGGGCTACAGATTTATGAAATACAAATAAACTTTAAAAAGTTAAAGACATATTTACTATACAAATATATCTAAGAAATTACACAACAGATTTTCTTTTTAGGGTGCTCTTTGTACTAACAAAAGGGTATATATATCAAGAAATATTTATGTTTAAATAAGATTTGTTAAATTATAAATAACATAATTTGCTTTAAATTAAAGGAATCTTGCAATACTAAACTACGTACTTTGAATGATGATGGTCACAGTCCATAGCTTCCGGTTCTTCGCATATGGTCAATCTGACCTCATGCTCAGAGTCGCGTCGTCGTGCGATTTCTTCATCTGGGGTACCAGATGGCTGGTCCTGCATTTCCTTACTCATACTGCGAGTGGTGACTGATGAAATTGGTTTAGATTCTACTGGGTTTACAGATATAACTGGTTCTCGTTCAACGCAATTAGTTATAGTTTCAATTGGTTCATGTTCATTGTTAGAGGTTACGTTTTTTACTGGCTCACATTGCGTTCTGGTGGTTACACTATTATTTGGTTCAGATTCCGTTAGACATTTAACTGGCTGTGATTCATTTTTGCTATAAAAATAAAAAAGTAAAAATGGATTATCTGTATGTAACATTACGAAAAAATCGATGTCATTATATACTTGATAATGAAAAATCAATTTTTAAATTGTTTCCTGCCTGTCTATGTGTTTACAAAGCCGCATTTTATCCGGGTAATCTTTGAAACGGCTGGACGGACCGACTTTGATGAAAAGTTAAGATATTTTTTTATTCTATGTTGAAAAGCTACAAAAACAAAATGGCGAATGTTTACCTGTCCAGCCTCCTATGGGGGAAAAGATTGAAGGTGTGAGTAGCGAGGTGTGCGTGTCCGTCCATGTGTCTCAGCAGATCTGTGCAGATGTCGCACGCGGACGCCTTGTTGTCCGTGAACGTTACGATCAGCCGAGATAGTAGCGCGTGTCTCTTCTTTTTGTCTGTCACTTCTTCCTACAAAATTAAACCGTATTTAACTGCACTCACAATTATTAATTATATACTAAGAGAGGTTCGACAAAAAGGTAAATAAAAGATGAGACGTAAATCATATAAAAGCTACTTATAAGTTTAAAATATGTTGGGCAGATGGCCTAAATGCTTATAAATCAATATTTGTGGCTAAAAAAAAATAGAAAATAGTTTACCGATATCCTTTTAACTAGATCCGGGGCACAGGCTTGTGTGAAATAATCCTTAAATCTATTTATCTTGTCCGCCTGCTCCGGTGTCAGACATCTGAGGAACTCTTTAAATATATCCACGAGTTCCACATCGAATATCTTCTCTAAAGCTTTAGCTAATTTGACAGGATCGTCTGTTTCTTCATCGAATTTAGATAAATTTATGTAAGCGTTTTTCTTAATAAATGGATTTCTTGCTAATGACAGTCTGATTAACATTTTCATTTGTAATGTTGTCGCAAATGCTGAAAAAAAAATGCTTTTTACTTTTGTCTAAAATAGGTAAAAAAAAATCAATTTGAAAAGTAAGTTTGATTGATAAGTCTAATCTCTGGAATTTTGTCTTTTTTCATTGAATACGTTAATTATTAAGAAAGGTTATAAGCTATTTAACATCACGCTAATACCTTTAAGTGTTGAACAAAACCAAAAAAATACAAAAGTAAATATTAAGGGTAGCTAGTTTAACATAAGCATAAAGAATACTATACTAGCTGTCGCTCGCGACTCCGTCCGCGCGGAATTAAAAAAAACTTAATAAGTAACCTATATGTTCTTCCATATTATGTTATACTTGTGTACCAAATTTCATTAAAATCCGTTGAGTTATTCCTGAGATACATTCAAACAAACATCCATACATCCATCCATACATCCCAATGCGTATCATACTTTTGTATAGTAATATAAATTAATTATAATTATAATAAAATATGAATATAATTAATCGTATTTTACCTAAATCATTAGGATCTGAGATATCATCAATTTCAAAAATACTGTCATCTTTTAAATTGGAGTTGAGACCGTTTTTATCATTACATTGCGATAGTTTTTGTGACATATATTTGTGGACGTACATTGAACGATGTTTGAAAAATCTTAACAGCATTCTTAATTTATTTGTTACTTTTGGTCTCTGTATACATTTACATGGGCATTTTATTACACGATTTTGTTTTGGTTTTATATATTCTGTTATCAAAGTCTGTCTTTGTTTACATATTTTTCTTAATAAAACGCAACAACTACAATGTTTTTCTGATATATTTTGTTTGTTTTTTGTTTTAATTTGATGTTTGTTTTCTTGTTTTTGTTCCGTAGTGTTTGTTATATTGTTTTGTGTTGTTTCGGATGTACTACATATCGGTTGCGAGACAGAATTAACTGTGATAGTGCCATTTGTTATATTTTGTACATCCGACGTATTTATATTAGCTTTTTCTATATAAATTATTTGAGTATCATTTTGTTCTGAAGTCTCAGGTGTTATATATGAGATGGGTTTTTTCTTGATTTTTATAAAATCATTGGGCAAAGGTTTCTTTAACTCTGGTATTATTTGTTTCCCCAATGCAATATCAACACCTCGCGGTTGTACTGTGCTTGTTTTACGACCGTACAGATGATCCTGAAAAAAAAAATATTTTCTTGTTTTTTTTAAATATTTCTAGAGATTTTTTTCATCATTAATGCATATATTTTTATGTTTAAACTAGCTTTTGCCCGCGACTTCCTCTGCAAGGAAGTAATAAAAAACTTTTTATCAGAAGATTATGTGATCTTGGAGGCTATGATCTACATTTATGGCGAATTTTTTGGAGATTGCTTGATTTTCTTACACCCAAACATTCACATCTTACTAAAATTATAAATGCAAATGTTTTAATGGATGGATGAATGTTTCTTAGAAGGGATCTCTATGTAGAACATAGTTTGGAAGAACACATAGACTACCAATAAAGTTTTTTTTAATTCCGCTCGAACGGGGTCGCGGGTACAAGCTAGTTTATAATATTAATAAAAGTAAGATTAATATAATATATAATCAAAGAATAATCTTACTCTAAATCGTTTGCTTGTCTTAGCGAGGTGTCTCAGCCATATCCGAGGCATCTCGTACTCTGGCTGCTCGTACAGAGTTATCCGCGGGTTGTACGGCAGCAGCTTGTGCTGCACAGCTTCCACCTTGCGGGACTCGAAGAATTTCTGATAAAGACCAAGACAGGTCAACAATTAAGTATTACAAGTGCTATAATAACTAAGAGAAATTTATTTTAATAATACTAAAAAAAAACAGAAGTGTGATTTGCCCATTTATTTAACATCATAAGTTGGAAAGTAAGGCGCAAGCGGCCACCAGAATTCGCTGAAATAGCATTGCGACTTCAGCCCAATGATATTAGCAATTGCAGATGTGTGCCTACCTTTAATTGTCAGAAGAGAGGAGGCACAGAAAGAGAATATATCTCTGTCAAAATCACTTCCCCTTCCCTTTCCTTATAAGATAAACTTTGATCTTATTGTTTAATTACAATAGATATCAAAAGAATGTATAGAATTAAAGTGACAAAATTAAGGAGGAATATATCATGCTATCTCTTTCGTACAGCCATAAACTCTTTTTAGACGAAGTATCCGGACATAATGCTATCTCTCTTACACATATGGGGTTCTCCTTGTCGTTGCGGCGCACGTAGCGCACGTGGTGCAGCAGCGTGTGCGGGGCCAGCCACGTCAGCATGTAGCGGCACAGCAGCCGCACCGCCGCCTTCAGCCCCGCGCGTCCACCACTACCACCACCGCTCCGCAGCGGGTACAGGTCAGGGTTCTCTTCAACGTACGACCAGAACTCGTCCAGACCCAGAGCTATCAGTCTAGTAATGCCCGAAAAATCGCGAATTAATAACCCAAAACGATTCGATTATCGACTGCATAAAACAGAATTCTAAGTTTGAAGTACAAAAGACTTAAGTACAAAAACTTAATCAATCCTCTTCAAAGTACAAAATCTTTGTAAAAAAAACTTTTTGAAATATAACATACGTAGTCCAGGAAATTAATTCCCTATCCACGTTTTATTTGATGCTCAAAAAATTATTACTAAGTCTTGTTATAGCTACTACATATTAGCGTAAATTATAATTCTTACGATGACATATTTTCGATATTTCTTCCTATGTGGCAAACGAAGCATAAAAATGGCAAAGATACTAGGACAGCAGATGTATAGAGGTAGTAACCGACCTATCCTCCGGCGGCAGGAACTTGAACCTCTTGAGTGAGTCAGGACGGTACATCATGGGCGGCAGCAGGTGCGGGTAGAGGAACACGCAGCTGTTGGCCACCACGTCCTTCAGCGTGTCGTGGAAGTCACCGATGTGTAGAGAACACGACGCGCTACGGTTGCGACTGACAAACAAATATTACAGATAGATATTTTTCTAGATACCTTTATAGAAATGTCAATTAGTCGCCAAAACACCCTGTACATATTATAAAAACAATTAAACAATTAATCTCTAGTCATGACGCCTGTTTTACAATATAGCCATCCCTTTCATTCTCTGTGAAAAGAACAGAGATAGCAAATATTCTTATACATTTTTCATAACATTTGAAATGACATTAAGAAACATTCCTAATAGTAACCTTTAACAATAAACTCGTCATGTTATTTTTAACTCACCTTCTTTGAACTTCTTTTTTGATATGTCTGAAACAAGAAAGAGTCATTATTTTATCGTCATTTTACGCTACAAATCCAAAAATTGTCTTCCAAAATTAGTTAACAAAGTATTTAATTTGATATGAAACAGAGTAAGATTACTAACTCAACCATGGCGGTGTTTTCTGGTGTGACTTGAGAGACGGTATTCTCCCAAGTGGTGACGAGGTCCAGGGCGGGCTTCAAGTTACACACGTTTACTACAGATTTATGGTTAGCAGAAGCCAAATTGTTTAACGTTTCCTGTAAAATTATATATACAGAATGATTATAATCATAAATTTACATCACTCGTCATAAAACCGTCATATTTCCTAACAAAGAATTTGTAGTACTCCGTTGTACACGTAATTCCAGGACATCCTGTATAATATAAAAATGTTTCATAATTCACGATTTAAAAAAAAATATTTTTTTGAAAAAGAATAAGAGAAATTTTGTACACATGTTATATGCACTGGAAATTATTAATTAATATAGTGCTAAAAGAAAATGACATACAAGATATTACAAGATGTTTACTTTAGTACCTTTACTAATGGTGCACATAAATTAGTCGTATTATATATTATACTTACCAAATATTCTTTATATTTAGGTGCATAAGACCAGTATGTGGGATGTGTGAATAACTGCAGAAAGTTGGATGCAGCCAACTGAACGTGTTGTCGAATCTGTTGCTCGAGTATTAATATCTGTTCTGGTAATACCTGCAAATAATAATAAACACTAAGACGCTAAAAAATAAAAATAAAAAGTTCTCAGCTTAATTTAAAAAGATATAAAATATAGGCAAGGTTTCTCATCATCTCTTTCGCGGAATACAAAAGTTTTATTGATTGAATTTAAATTATTGAAAAAAAATATTGTAGAAATAAAAGATTGGTTGTTTTTTTTTTTTAATATCGGTTCAGTATTTTTTAAGTTTATTAAAAAAACAGGGAATTTTCATTATTATTAGTAAGTAGTCGAGAATTCAATGTAATAGTGCGTGCGTGAGTACGTGTGTGCGTGCGCTTTAAATGTATAATACTGACTGAGGGTTCAGCGGAGAGCTGCACGATGACCAAAGGCTGGTCGGTGTGCTCCGCCTGCAGCACCAGCGGCGGCTGCGGCGGCGGAGACTGCGCACCAGATGCAACCCCACCATCCACTCCCGCAGCCTCTTCCACCACAACCACCACATTCGGCCTACACACACAAGACTAAGACTAAAGAAAAAAACCTTACTAATATTATACATACAAATGTATGGATGTTTTTAGAAGGTATCTCCAGAACGGCTTCATGGATATTGCTGAAATTTGGCAAAGAACATAGACTGGAACAAAACATAGGCTACTAATTAAGTTTTTTTTTAATTCCACGCGGATGGAGTCGCGGATGACAGATAGTAAATCATAAATACGATGAAGAAGTAGAATTGTCTTACAGAGATTTTCTACAATGGAACCTCACTGTTATATTTATTATAATAAATTGCTCCTTTATACCTATCGGTCTTGACAGACAGGCGGACAACAAAGTGATCCTATAAGGGTTCCGTTTTTTTCCGTTCGAGGTACGGAACCCTAAAAAAACCTTTTATTTATCAGAATTAATAAGTAAAAGAATCTTACGCGGGTATGAGTGTAGCTAATGATATCTGTTCTCCTATAATTGTTACTGGCATTGTATTCCATGCAGTTTGACTTTCATTCACCGTCGTTACCATGGTTACTTCATTCTCTATCTCTTTCTTGCTCTCTTTTATTTTATTGTTTTCATCTCTTCGTTCTCTTTCTATATCTTCTGGTTCAATTTTACCAATAGAGAAATGTGTACTATTTCTGTTTATAGTATTTGATGCACTCTCCTCCTCAGATTTTGGTTCTTGCTTACCCTCCCAAACACCATTCTAAAATATAATAACAAGTTCGTTTAAGTGGACCCTTTTTTATATAATTTTTTAATTTATTTTTCTTTACTAAAATTCAAGTGCAAGATAAATAAAATAATTAAAAAAAACGACTAAGTAATTAAACCATTTTTATCCAAAAATTTTTCAACGCAAAAAATACCCTTACTTTTAGAAAAAAAATTCGCTAACACCAATTTAAAAAAATACATTTTATTATTTTCCAAGGCTATAAGAAAATAAAATATTCTTCATACCTCTGCAGCATTTTTCCCAGTTACTTTACTTGCAATTTCCTCAGCGGAAGGCTCCGGCATTATATTGAACAATTCAGTCATCAAATCATTGAGTTCCTTCTTTGATATCTTTATTATACTATTATCTAACACTTCCTCGTCATCATCATCTGTAAGGAAGTATAGTCGAGGACATATATTCCCTACCCGTTCTGGTGAAATGTCATTTTTTACTGACAATATAATTAGTAATACTTGTCATAGAAACATTGTTAAATTATAACTGTTATGGTGACATTTAAATGTACTATATATTCCATCCAGTTAATTGATATCTTTGATAGAACAGTACAAGAAATTTTAGAAAGCGTCTAGTATTTGTGTCACTTCATTACAAAAATACAAGTAACTCCTCTGTATAACATTAGTGAGAAAAATTGTACGTTTGTACGTTAAGGTATATATATATATATATATACAATCTCTTAGTTGTGGAACATCAACATACAACCTCTAGGTTGTGATATATTTTAGAGGCTCAATACATAGTACAAGTCACTAGACAGGACTGCGCTAGTAATTCTTTAGAAATTTACATTTCAATTGGAAAGAATAGCTTTCATTGAGGATTATTATCATGTGACTTACGTATATCAGGGTCCGCTGCAACATTATATTCTGGATCTGCTTCATCATCATCTTCATTCTTGACCAAAGCGGAGGCTGGATTGAGGCACTCCTCTAAGAATTCATTCCATACAGGATCGTCCACATCCACTGTAGGTACATCATCAGGTGGAATGAATGAACTCTCTATATGCTCTATTGGTGTTGCCGATAAACTTAACTTAGATCTAGTTCTGAGTGCTATTGTGGCTTCTTCTTCTAAATTTAATTTGCGACGTATAGGCGTTGCTTTGTTCTGTAGAAAGTAAATAAAGTTATTACCTAAACATTGTATTTTTCTATTAATATTATACAAAGAATTTTTTTTGTAAGGGTAACACTGTGGTGATTATCGACATCCATAGAAGTACCATACCAGAGTAACTGCAGATGTATTTCCAGTAAAAATTAGTTGTCTTTTTTATTCTAGATCCTTCAATATATATCTGAGAGAATAAATATGTTTAGAGATTGATTGGTGAAAGAATTGTTCCTAGGTATTTTTACAACTTACTTGTGGTACTTTAAATGGGCCGTCTTTAACAACTTTCGGGGACACAAGGCTCTGTGATTTTGGAGTCGCTGGTGTTCTTGGCAACGAGTCTACGTCGCTACTAGATTCCACTGTGTGTTCATCATCACTCTAACAAATAAATAATAAATTTATATACAACAAATAATATTTATCACCAAAAAGGAATGTAAAATATTTATTGTATTAAAAAAAGACATGAAGTATAATAAAATTATTCTGGACTATTTCAAATCTGCAACATGAATTTAAGTTAGATTTCAGAAATGTTTTGTCTACAACTTAAAAAAATCTTATACTTATCATAAAAAAAACATAATTTGATCAAAGAAATAGTCATTAGTCCATCATTCACAAAGTAAGAGTTAAAACCCACAAAATACTTCAAAATAGGTCAAGATATTTACGTTCCTCGATTATTGGTTAATTGTCAAACTATAATTATCATACCTGGACATCATCATGAGTGGGTTGATACTCATCATCATCTTCATCCTCCGGCAACTCCTGGGCTATGAGAGCTTTCACTTCAGGCCTTGTTTTCACTGGAATATGTTTGATTGGTGTCAATTCTAAATTCTCTAAATTCCATCCAGTTGATTTTGGTAAATCTTTCATCAGTTCTCTATAGTAAAAATATTATGATTACTTATAAGGAAAATATAATAAATGAACATGTATTATGCCGCAGTGAACTGTATCCACACTAATCAGACATACTTATAGTAAAGAAAAACATCATGATGCAACCTACACATATCTGCTAAGAACTTCAAAGTTATGTATGAATTGAACCCGCAATTGGCAAGCATGGTTGACTTTGGAGTCCTCTATAACTTACGAGTAGACTCTGAGCCCCACAGTACTTATGTATCATCATAATACTCAGCCTAAACTTGTCCACTGCTGGACGTAGGCCTGTAGGTAGTACTTATGTATATAGAGCTATATTTTTTTTGTGAATGTTTTTAAAAACCAACACTAAATATTCATTTAATAACATTGCAGTATGTTTTACTATAAATATTTGTATACTTATTAAATGTATAACATTGAAATAATAGAATTACTTGTAATTACTTACTTTACTTTAGCTCTAGTTAATTTTGGTCTGATTTTTTCTTCCAAAATTTCTTCTTCTTCTTCCCTTAACTTTACAAGAGCTAATACATGATCATTTGTGACTACTTTCTGTAAAATTAATATATATATAATTATGTTATATACTATTTTTATATTTAACATATACATAGCCACTAGTCTGGTGATTACTTTCATACGAAAAATGAGTAGCATTTAACATATTAGAGACAATAAAACATAACATTAGTAAGTGTTCAAGTTTTGTTGTATCTCTTACCTTAAGTATTTTCTTAACACTAATATCATCCAGGTTATTTTTAATAGCTGACGCATGGACATTCTTTTCCATTTGGAATGAATTCTCTGTGAGTACACCATCATCACCTTCAGAACTACTTGAGTCCAACCTGAAAACATTAGAAACATTATAAAAACTGTAGGCTTTTATTATATTTTACAAAGAATAATTTAATTTGTAATCAATAGAATGTCATTTGGTTCTGTTTCTGCTAAAGAAACATCTATTTCTGATACATAAACGAAATATGTCTAGCTATAACTTACAATATCATTTGCAGATCATTTTTAATTATTTTGCAATTACCCCCTTATTTACTAAAAAAAACGTTAGTATAACCTACCGTTTTCTTTTCCGAAGCCTCGTTCTTACATTCAATTTAGTGTTATTTTCTGAAATTGATTTTTTCGGAGACTTATCCGATTCAGATGAATTATCTGAGCTATGAATATTATTTTCTGCTTCACTCATAATTCTAAACTTACTAGTGTCAACTGTTCTTTTTAAAATTATGAACTAGTGAATACTAAGAATTTAATAAATTTTAAACTTAGGCTACACATAGTATATAAATAATAATCACAAACACGAATTGTTTTTTTTGTCGCAAATCGGCACAAGTTGTTCAATAGACCACGATAATAACTCCTAAGATTTACACTTTTAAATTGTTGTAGTCCAGCAAATACCAAACTTAGATTTGAGTTCTAAGATTATACTTTTCAATTTAGCATGAAAACAAGCGGCTTTTTGCAAAAAAAACGGACATCAGCACGGAATCGTATCAGTCGTTATTATTACGTCAATGTCAAACCCGTTGTGTCAAATTCTTTAGACATTTTCGTTCTAAAACTTTAATTTCAGTAAAGCTGCTTTAGCTGAAGTTTTAAACCAATATTTTCTACGTAATTTCTTTACGAATCGCTTCGTCGTTTTTTATGTTATAAGGTAGCATCCGAGCAAGCGGCCACCTGGGTTTGCCGAAATAGCGAAGCGACCGCTGCTCATTGATATATGTTATAGGTAATTGCAGATGTGTTGCCTACCTTTAATTAACGGAAGCGTCAAGAAAAGGGTGGGAAAGGAATGTAAACTAATATTAAGCGGCAAGAACACTCATCAGACAAACCACACGGCAGACATGTGAAAAGGATATGTTCTACTTCACACATGTCTGCCGTGTGGATATATAACTCAGCATAGCTATGAGCTAAATAAATTAAAAGATTATAAATATACATATATATTATTATTTATTTCTTATCTAAGATAACATTTTTGTTTGCTTTAATTTACACAAGCTTGACTGCTTTTTCATGGAAATCTGCTAGCAATAGTTTCATGTCATCAAATCCTGATAATTCCTGAGCCTGTTGTAATGGCAGCCACTTGTAGTCTTGATGTTCATCAGACAATGTCACATTTTGTTCTGGTTTTTTCAGCTTAGCTAACCAGTATATAACGCATTTTGGTTTTTGATTGACTTCATAGTTAAGTGTGTAAGATATATCTTTATAGATCTGCAAAGAAAAAAAAACATAATTAGGTATTGCACTGGCGCAAAGTGGGTCTCAAAGAAAAACATAGCAACATAATTACACAAAATATGCTTGAAACTTTGAGCGAACACCACTCTTCTCAAATAAAACTACTTACATATGTCTCTTATCAGGTCCAATATCAGGACAAAAAAAAATATATGATCATAAGCAATTTTATAATTTTATTAATGGTTAATGACAGTAAATATATAAATTGGTGAACTATTGATTCAATTTTGTTCAATAGAAACCATTTATAAGTAAAAAATTTAGTGGTTTATTACATTTTCAAAAGTAAAAGCTCATTAAAATGTATGGGAAAAATACATTTTCATATTTCTGACTTACTTCTAAATCATTCTCTGAATATCCTGCTTCTTCCTTAGTTTCTCTCAAAGCTGTTACCCAATTCGATTCACCAGGATCAACATGACCTAGATATAGGAAATTGTAATATGTAAGTAATAAACATTAATGAATTACTCTACGGATTAAACATTATAAGTTATTACCTTTCGGTGGTGTCCAATGATGTTGGCCGTATGAAGTTTGCAATAGGAGAAACTGTATTACTTTATTTGTGTAGCGAAATATCACTAAACCAGCTGCACTGGTTAGTGACATGATAAAATCTGCGACTTAAAATTAAAGTGGAAACTATTGAAAAGTGTATGAAATGAAATAAATTTAATTTTTTACATTGTTGATAATTTCGTTAAGGGAAATAGTTTGACGGCTGTTCTGTTTAGACATTGACAGTTGACATAACATCTTAGACTTAAGTCAAATCAAATCAATTAAAACCTACCAAAACCAGCTATGCGTTTAATTTTCGTCAACATTGTAGGCGTAAAAAATATTTCATTCGTACATTTAGGAAAAAAAAGTGGCCTGTTTTTCAGTGAACTTGGTTTTAAACTATGTTTTGCTAGAATATTTCTCTTTAGAGCACTGCGTTTTTTTCCGGTAGATTTGTGATAAATTTATGGCAACTCAAAAATGACAGGTGTTTCAATTTTTTTTACTTTTCAAAACTTTAGGAAACGTTATGACGGGAACTAAACCAAAGAGTATATAAAATAAGAGACGGGACTCTTGACTAATTAGATACACAAACGGAGAATAAAAATTGACATTTTCAATGCTAGCAATATTATGAACAAGTCTACGTTGCTACCAACCTAAAAAAATCAATCTATCAATTTCCGTTTTGACGTTTGAAAGTATTATTCGAGGGAAAACAATTTTGGAAAAATAAAACAATTTCGTTAATTGCAACTTTATTTAATCTTCTGACTAAAGCGAACATATTTTAAGAACGCAACATAATGCTCATTGCTTTCGTAATAATACCATTATTGTTTAGTTCACCAACAAAATACCCCAACTTTGATAAATGCTTATTTGTTCCAGTTTGTTTATTTGATAGATCATATTTTCTGATAGAACTGGAGTAGTAGTGCCACTCTTGTCTTGAGAAATAGAATAACACTGGAAAGAGATTAGCTCCTCTCTGTTGGTAAAATATTTAGAAAATTGCTAACAAGACAATATGCATTGAAGCAAAACAAATCGTCATCATCAAGCTCACTATACGGACACACTATACTCCACTGAGGAGCTCGGAGCCTACCCTCAAGAATGCGACTAGGTCTTATTCAACAATGCAGAGCCAGTGAGGGTTGGTTGACATATCTTTGAATTTCTATGCAGTTGTATGCAATTTGTAATTACAGTAAGAATGTCTGATGGATGTTATCATGAAATTCGAAGAACTCATTACTATATAGCGGAGATCGTACCTGGATATGTAAAATATGATCCGGTCAAGCGCCAACTGCACTGCCGACGCTCCAAATAGTCCCCTAATCCAAACTTTTCCTATCAAAACATTGCAAATGTACAAGTCATGTTAAATATTATGTACTGTAAAAATAGAATACATAAATATTGTATTCTATTTTTACAGTTTTACTTCTCAAATAAATTCATAAAATTATCATGAACCTAAAGATTCCGCATTTTAACTCTTTTGTTAGTACTATTCTCCATAGATGTGTAACCTATAGATTCCTTAACGAGGAAAAATAATGAGCTTAGGAGGCATCATTTTGGGGAAAAGTACCTGTGTTGAAATTTAAATTACTTGTAAGAAAATTGTATACAATCTCTGTTTATTTTTTATTACTTAGTTCAAAAAAAGTTTAAGATATATAATAAGTTGTGATATTTGTAAAATCCAAATTTAATAAATTAATTTTGTTTCATATTTTTCACTAAATGGTATTTTTTTTTATCTTTTGTACTTGATACTTAATTCCCTATATTTGAGTATATTTTTATTTTCTATACACTGCATTTCCCAATTTCGAGAAAATCTTATTATGTTAGTGTATATTTTATATTAAAGTCTAATACATATTTCTAAAAATTGTCATAATATTAACATGTATACTAATATAAAACACTAAATTATAATATAAATAATGTATAGGTTACACATCTATATATCAATATTGACATTAATATAGTTATTATGCTAGTGCATTTCCTGCAACATGGTGACTCTTTTTTAGATTTGCGGTTAAACTACTCCATATAATAAGTTATTTTTCAAAATTTAGTTTAGAATTACAATATTTTAAACAGTCAAACTCTGTAGCACAGATATTGCAGCGACATGCAGTCAGCAATTCTGAAGCAGATTCCTTCATTTAATAATTCTGTAGAACTTGAAGAGGTGCAATCATTCATCTGCAACAGTATGAACATAATCAACATCAAT